TCCCTTCCCTTCCCTTCCCTTCCCTTCCCTTCCCTTCCCTTCCCTTCGATTCTATTAAGACAGACTGCCTCAGGTGAAATCTCCCTGCGTGGCCCACATGTCTTGAGAAGGAAGGTTGCGAGTGAGAGTCCTGGGTGGGCAAGTTGGAGATGGTCCATCATGGTCCTTTGCTTGGGAACAGCCTTTCCCTGGAAATCTGGAGGATGTACCCTCTTCTAACTCTGGTGCCATTTTATGTAAATGGAGCGTTTCAAGTTCTCTCTCAAAGGGGAACCAAATAACTTTTCTGATAGGGTGGATTTCTTTCTGATGTAAATCAATTCAAGAGGCCAGAAGCACCTCAGAATGAAATTCTGACTCCAACCACAGTCATCTTTCAGTCTCAGGCTATTTTTTTTTAATGTCCACAGCAGATAGATTAGCTGAAAAAATAGCCCAATGTAGGCGTAGCTAAGTAGACACCCAGGCAAATGCGGCTTTCCATTGTTTATTTATTTTTCACTTTTAAAGCATGTTTGGTTCAAATTCACATTCATGGACTTGTTGATTTCATTTTTTTTAGGTACCCTCTCTATCTTACCATGGAAAAGTTGGTCTTCTGCCTCCTGATGATGAGCAGCATGTCTGTGAGGGCCCTGATGTGTCCCATGCGCTGCAGCTGCCAGACAGTGTCTCCATCTTTCACCATTCTTTGCACGAAGAATGGGCTGCTCTTTGTTCCTCCTGCCATTGACCGACGGACAGCAGAACTCCGGCTGATGGATAATTTCATCACGACTTTGCGAAGGATGGATTTTGCAAACATGACAGACCTGATCCATTTAACGCTATCACGAAATACAATCAGTCATATTATGCCTTATGCATTTTTTGATCTTAAAGGCCTTCATGCATTACACCTGGATAGTAACCGACTCACCTATATTGATGAGGATCATTTCAAAGGATTGATTAACCTTCGCCACTTAATTCTCAGTAACAACCAGTTACATTATATTTCACCTGGATCTTTTGAAGATTTCATTGACATAATTGAGGATCTAGATCTATCCTATAATAACCTTGTTAAGATCCCCTGGGAAACTGTTGGGAGGCTTTCAAATGCCAATACTATTAGTTTGGATCATAACCTCATAGATTTTGTTCCCGAAGGCATCTTCTCCGATCTTCACAAACTAGCTCGGCTGGACATGACTTCTAACCAGCTGAGGAAGATCCCCCCCGACCCTCTTTTCTCCCGCATTCCCGTCTATGCCAAGCCCAAGGGTACCCCTCTATCCTCTCTGGTATTGAGCTTTGGAGGGAACCCACTACACTGCAACTGTGAGCTAGTATGGCTACGGCGCCTGACTAGGGAAGATGACCTGGAAACCTGTGCCTCCCCACCTGAGCTGACGGGCAGGTATTTCTGGTCTATTAAGGAGGAGGAATTTGTCTGTGAACCACCAATGATTACTCACAGAACAGCAAAGCAAGCGGTCACGGAAGGACAGAGTGTTTCCTTGAAGTGTAGAGCAGTAGGTGATCCAGAACCATACATACGATGGATTTCACCAGGAGGAAAATTGGTCTCCAATACTTCCAGAGCAATTTCCTATGAGAATGGGACTTTGGACATTTTAGTGACTTCTACGGAAGACCAAGGCATGTATACTTGTATAGCATCCAACGCTGCAGGGGAGTCCACTGCACCAGTTGAACTTGCGGTCAGCCCATATCCTCATCTTGCTAACAGCACAAACTCTGGCAAAGAAGCTGAGGCGGGTCCATCGGATATTCTCATTTCAGCCAAGTCCAGTTTCTCTAACGAAACCAAATCTCGCCAAGAGAGGAAAGTGGCCATTGCTGAGCTGACCTCGTCCTCTGCCCTCATCCAGTGGCCTTCGCAGCACCATATTCCTGGGATGCGAATGTTCCAGATCCAGTACAACAGCTCTGCTGACGATATCCTGGTGTACAGGTACGCATTCCTACCAGGCTTGTTTCAAGCTTATTTCTGGCACAGTGGCAGTGGTGGGAAGCTCGACAATCAGGAGTAAAACCGGGCACCGCTTGCTTGATGCCTTTGCACGGAATGAGTTAGGAGAAGGGTAGGAGGAGATCATCAAGAGGCAGAATGAAAAGAGAAGCGTCTTCTACTCTAAAGGGAAAATCCAAGCCCAGGGCTCTCCTTTCCTCACCTTCCTTTTAAACCAGAACTTCATACAGGATAGATGAGAATTATATTAAAAACAGGGTGGTCAATTTCATTTTTATTTTTGTGCCTTGATTCCTGGTGACTGCCCGGAGCGATCTCGTTGTTTCCTTGACCACGTTTTTGGAAGGGATTTCTCCCTGCCTTCTTACTAGGGCTGAGAGAGAGTGACTGGCCCAAGATCACCCAGCCGGCCTAGACCTCATGCTCTCCTGGTTTCCTGAAATTGCTTCCTTGCCCTAGGCCTAACAGTAGCTGGGGATAGAGCCCCTCCCTCCCTCCCTCGGATAATTTCTTCAATTTGCCAGTCCCAATTTTGTTCCCCACGGCAAGTGAAACATGGCCTTCTCGGGTAAATTTCATGTCCAGGTTAGTCAGAGAAAAATCTATACAACAGGCCTTTGCATAATTGAAAAACAGCAATTGAAATATGTAGATATACACACTATACCAGAGATCGCCAACCAGTGGGCCGGGGACCACTGGTGGTCCGCGAGAAAATTTTGGTGGTCCGCAGAGAAATGTCACCCCCAAAGCAATTAATCCAGGCTGCACGGGAAGGCTTGCATCGCTTGCATTGAGAACAACACAAGGTAGTGAGGGGAGGGGGAAAGGGCGGAGGGGGGGAACTTGCCCTACTCGCCCCACACGCCTGGCCTAGGCACCAGGCTGCTTCTTTCTGCTTCTTTCTTTTTCTGCTTTTGGCTGCACACAAGGAAAGCAGCAAAAGACTTTCTTTCTCTCCCTGAAACTCTACCAGAAATTAGCCTTTGGGACCCTGCAAGGCATCCTGCTCCAAGAGTCACAAAGACTCATTTCTGGCGGAGTTTGGGGGAGAGAAAGAAAGACTTCTGGTGCTTCTGCTGCTTTCTTTGCATGAAGCCAAAAGTCTCTCTCTCTCTCCCCCTGAGAACGGAGCTGGAGATGGTATCCTGCAATAAAGAATGATCGATCGGTAGGAAAACAGGGTGGGGGATTTTCCCAGGGTCTCTGGTCCACGAGATTTAAAATGATGAGTTTGGTGGTCCCTGAGGTCCAGAAGGTTGGCAACCCCTGGACTATACTGTTGCTTTGTTAAAATAAGAATAAGAATGCATCATCAACTCAAAGCAGTTAAAAAACAGAGCCGTGTGTTGACATTACAGAAAACTTCATAAAAATAGATTTCATGCTATTTTCAAAACCCCTTTGGTTACTGGACAATCGACAATAATTTACATGTGCGTGCATTTATTTCCATTTGTACGGCCACCCGTGTCATCATGTTACTTATCAAGAAACAATACAAACCTATGAAATTCCTTCCGTAGCCCTATGATATCCTATCCCCACAAGGGTCTGGTAGCTCCTTTCCCTACCAAGAAATGCTATTAAAAAGGCAGAAGTTTTCATCAGCTGCAGTTTACCCGAAGTATCGTGGCTGAAAAAGCTTCGGGCTTTTAATAAAGATGCTACCACAGTCCAAAAAGGTGCTAGCGGACCCCTTCTCACGTCAGCTGTCTGCAAGTCAATTGCACTGAGACCAGAGAGATTAAACGCCATCCCTTTGGAGTCTTAGGCCGATCTCCGAAACTGGCAAACACCTGTTGCCATCAAAGCCATTTCCCGTTCAAAGTTAACAAAACAACCACCGATGCTTCTCAGGCATAGGGTCAGCTTTGGTTTTGTGGTTGCGAGGTCGGTCAACAGAGCCAGCCAAAGGAGTAGCCCCTCTGTGCTCAATCACATCGCTCTGTTCCCTTTATGAAGGTTGCAAGCTTGCATCTCAATGTTGCTCTGAATTCACCAGGCAAGTAATACGTGGTTACCCCTTTGACTCATGAGCACAGCTGTCCACGGGGAGCAGGGGTCGGGCAGGAACATTGCGATGTCAGAACACAAATTACACTCTCTCTTTATAGTTGTGCGCAACACCAATGCCAAGAGAAGAAAGCAGAAGGCATCATGATATCATAATGCACACTTTGCCATTTTAACACCATCAAAGCCACCAACGGACAGTTACACTGCTTAAACAGCCAACGGCTACCCCGTTCATCCTTTTAGCCTTTCAGGAAATCATAGGAGCGGAGAGGGAATAACACTGTGTGGTCCTCTCGCTGTAGACTGAATTTGTCTTCTCTTGCAGGATGATCCCAGCTTCTAGCAAGTCTTTCTTCCTGACTGACCTGGTTGCTGGGCGGGACTACGATCTGTGTGTTCTTGCTGTTTATGACGATGGCGTGACTTCTCTGACAGCGACCCTGGTGGTAGGATGTGTGCAGTTCACCACGGAGGAGGCATACCGGCAGTGTCAGTCCCTCCACGCACAGTTTCTTGGCGGAACCATGATTATTATCATCGGAGGCATCATTGTGGCATCCGTCCTTGTTTTTATCTTCATACTTTTGTTAAAATACAAAGTTTATATCAACCACCACAAAACCAAAAACCCTGAAGTGAATAACGTTTGCTCTCAAACCAACGGTAGTCAAAGTAACTCTCTGGTACATTCCAGTTCTAAACCGATTGAATGGATCCAGCAAGAATGTTCAAGCTCACCATTCAGAGGCAAAACCATACTAGACTTGGACTACAAACGAGCAGCCTCTACAGACATGCCTGTTTTAAGAAACAAAGCCTTTCCTTAATAAGTTATGCTGGTCCCAGGCAAGAAGCAGTAAAAAATAACTAACGTGGTTGTATTTTAAGCTTCGCTGTCTATTTTTAAGATCAGATGGTTTTAAACACTATTTTTTTAATCCGTAAAAGTTCTTGCATTCTTAACTATTTTTGTTGCACTATATTAACTATAAATGGTGTGATTTTGAAGGTTTTTTTAGTCATTCTTGTCTATTTGCAACCAAGTCTGGATCGGTACTTAGAAAAGTTCTGTGTAGTGCAGGTTCCTCACCATTAAGCAGACGTACAGCACCTTCAGGTCACACTTCACGATAGCAGGCTGAGGAGGAAGTGCATTTAAACCCAAAATGCTACAAAACGTCAAGAGAATGGAAAGGTTTAGGGAAGACCAGTACACAAATTTCTCAGTTAACAACCAGTGCTCAAAGTTGCGATGGTGAACAAGCACACTTACAACAGATCCTCAAAGTTCCAGCTGGTGCAACAGCACCCCTGCCAGCATGGGATCGAGATTTGGAGGTTCGGCCATTGGCTTGCACTTAAATGGGCCAAGCGTCCCACAGCCACAGGGTTGTCATTTGTGACCTTCCTCAATGGCTTTGCATAAGCAAAGTAAACAGGGAACCCGGCAGGGAAGGTGGCAAGTTGCTCCGGTAAGTTGCTCTCGTTGCCTTTTCTCCCAAGACCACTACGGAATACAAAATCCAAGGGGGGGTGTCACACATTCCATAGTGCATGCGTACTTTCATGCACACGGTACCATAGCAATCCCCCCACCTGACATACCCCATCCGCTGACCTGCTCGCGAGCCCCCTCAGACTCGCAACTTGCATTCACTTTGCTTCCGAGAACCTGGCATGAAGTATCAAAAGATACCAAGTCATTGCTTTAATCAGCCACGATCCCTGCTTAATGACAGGAACGGGGAATGCCAAATAACCATCACGTAGCATCACGCTCTATGACCACACAACTTAGCAATGAAAATTCCGGTCCCGATTATTCTTGTTAAGCGAGAATTACCGGTACCTTGTTTTGACGAGTGCCAGATACCAGCTTTATTACTATCGACAAAGGAACAGGATTAGTCCCTGACCCCAGGGTCTCTTTTAGGGCAAAATAGAGAAAGCCTAAAGGACTTCCTGCGCATAGCGAGTCTTTTTGCTAAGCAAAAGTCAATATTGCTATAAATCTGAGCAGCAGGTCTACGGCATCTGTAATCATTGGAATGACTAACTGGCACATTTTAACAATAACTTGGAGAGTGATTCAGAATGGTGTTGGTGTCCCAGATAGTTCATTTAAATTAACATATAACTTATCTAGCTTTCTTTTGTATTATAGTTTATTATTTTAATAACTGCATTTACTGAACAAGTGAAAAAGGAGAGCAAACAGATAACAGCGGTGACCAGAAGCAAGATATTCTGCACAGTGGACCTCAGAAAAATGTTTCCAGCCCTTCAAGGCGAAATAGGTTCTGAACGTTCAGTAGAAAGAAAAGATCCCGCAGAACAGAGTAACCTTAATCCTAGACGATTTTTCCATTCCCAGTGGTGTTTTCCCATACAACGTGGCTAGGATTTAAAGGATAGAACAAAAAGCAAGCGGATCCACTAGGCACAAAGAGGTATTCTACCTTGAACGTGATGTTGGTTTCAGTGCCAGGGTACTTCATCACAGGAGGTTTATCGGAAGCGATCGGGCAGTCATTTATCCAGAATGGTACGGATCTCTTGCCGGAGCAGGAGTTGGGCTAGAGAAGACCTCCAAGGTCTTTTTCTACCCTATTGTTGTGTTATTTTAATGGGATTTTAAGTTTGTTATTCTGTATCTTTCTTATTAAATGCCTTAATAACACGAATAAGGGAGCAGGAAGCCCAGGAGCTGCCACACAGGCACAGAAGAAGTATTCTGCCTGTCCTGTACTGTACAAATACTGTACAAAGGCAGATAGATAAACTCCACAAAGCATTCATACAAAGACTCTTTTATTGGTTCATCAGGCATCCTTATCAACTCACAGTTATGACGAGGTTCTTCTTAATGTCCAATCTTTTGCATATCTGTCTTTATGGGTAAAAAGATGGTTATCTCTTTCATCCCATATCGTAGAGGCAGGGGGTAGAGCTGCTATCATGATCAGTGTTCAGGCAAGAGTGAAGAAACCTCTCCCGACCCACCAAGGGTCAATTCAGTGACCAATCAGGGTTACAGATGTGGCCATATGACATGTACTGCATTTTCCCAGGATACCTTAACTACATTTACCATGATGCATTCCCTTAAGGGGACAGCTCACAATTCCTAACTAACTATCCCAAATCCCATTAACTATAACCGTCTGGACAGCACAAGAAGGAATCTAGTTTCAAGAATTAAACCAAGTTTAAAAGGTGTATGATAACTTTAACGGAAGTCCCGGATCATTTCTTCAAAAGGTAAAAATCTGGTCGACTGTTTTTTTAATAAAATTGGTATACTTTTATACAAATACACCATAGAAAGCGTATCATGAAAGCCCTCGCCCCTTTCAATAAAGACACAAACCTAACCGGTAGCGAATAGCTTAACCCCTAAATTTGTCACTCGCGGAAAGTTATTTGTAAGGAATACTTTGTCAATTAAAGTTCTCAGGCAATCAACACATCGTATTGTTTGATCCTTCGCTTACTGACGCATGTACCCGGCGTGCGTATCCTTTGTTTCTTTACGCTATAAAAAGACTCGACACGTCCTCGACAAACACACTTAGCTCAGCCTGACCTGAATTTCTCGTCAATTTGTATTTCCCAGAGACCCAGAATCCCCTTTGGCAACAGTAAAGTTTTCTCTCCCAAATTCAGGGAATAGGCTCCCCGTGCACTCAGGGGGCCCGGGTTTTGAGACAAGGCCGGGTTCCCAGTCATCGGAATGTCCAGCCAGGATTTTAGGGAGCCGTTCCTCGTCCATCCTGCTTTCCCTTTTTAATTTGAACAGACATAGAGACTGAGTCCCAGCTCGGTCAGGTTCCCCGCAGCATTTATGACGGAATCAGGACATACCAGAGGGGAGCCCACAAGCGAGAGAGACGCCCGGATATTTACAGATTTCAGAAAAGGGAAAATAATTGCTCATAATTAATAGACGCAGGATCAATTCTTCGCATCCCTGGGAAAACGGTAGATTCAACAATGTACAACCTACATTTACAATAATAAAATTATTTTCTTTGTAAGACCTTCCCTTCAAAAGGTTCATTTCCACATCCAGCCTACAGGTAGTCCTCAACTAAGGACAACGGAGCCCCCTTTTCTCTCATCAGGTAAAAGACCCCAATGGGGACTCTAGTCCCCAAGCACCCCAATTTCTATGCCCACAGCACTGCAGGACACCACAGCGGTCCACGAAAAGGTCCCAGGTCGCTTTCTTTAGCGTCATCGCAACTCAACGGTCACTAAAGAAACGGTCGTAAGCCGAGGCCTATCGGTCCAGCAGGAAGCAAGTAGCCAAAGGGAAAAGCAGCGATTTACCGAAGTAGTTTTTGTTTTTGTTTTTTAAAGGGAAAAGTTCTTTTTGCGCACAATTATGTTTATTTTTTAGGAAAAACTAAAACACGGAGGGCAACCCGGTGACAATCACTCACTCCCCACCTTCACTCCCTCAGGTTTTCACCCAGCATCGCAGAGGCCGAGAAGCGAGGCCAGAAGGGCAGAAGGGCAAGAAAAGCACCGCCACTCTAAGCTTTAAGTTGACCGATTCTTATTTCATTTTAAGAATTGTAATGGCATTTCCTATAAATGTAATCATTCTGATTAGGAAAAAAAGGGAACCATGCTTTTGGCGCACAAGGACGTTTTATTGTTTAGGAAAAACCAAAAGAGGGAGGGCAACCCGCTCACACGTCCTCTTTTTCCCCCCTTTCCCCCAGAACCAAGGAGACCGAGAAACGCGGCCTGCAGAGCGCCAGGAAAAAAGCCCCGCCACTCAATGCCGCTTTTCAGACGATCAAGTTCCTTTGAAAAATGACCTTCCCATCATGGCCGACTTCCCGTCCCTTCTTCTAAGTCGTCCCCCAACTTCCTTTCGCGCGGACATTTTCGGCACGGTGAACTTCTTGTCCGTTCACCGTGGCTGTCCCCCCACGCCCCCGGATGCCTGAGAAGAACGACCTTTCTGTGGCGGGCGACTTCCCGCCCATTCTTTTTAGTCTTCCCGCCCAGTTCCTCTCGCAGCGACTTTTTCGTCCCTCGGGGATTTGAAGTTTATTATTCCGAATCATTAGTAATTGGAACGCCTCATGATGAAGATTAATACGGTATAACGAAAGCTCGAACCCTCTCGTGAAGGGACAGAAAAGCAGGCACCGCAGTCTCATTTTTAAAAAATAACTTTTGGGGGGGCTTTTTTGAAACGGTTTTTTCACGGCCGCCTTTCTGAGGGAAACGGGAAACAGTGCCGTCCTGTGGTGCAGGAAGGAATAACGGGGAGAAGGTGTGGGACCCTTTTAATAGTTTTTTAGGCTATTATCCCGTATCTTTATTATCAATATGCTATTAATATTAATAGGACAACACGAGACCGAAGGCCGCAATAGATGAACAGAAAAAGGTGTCCCAGAAAAAGATGGGGTTGTGGGCTTAGAGGGTTGGGGTTGAGGTTGAGGTTGGAGGTTAGGGTAAGGGAGTTTAGGGTTTGGGTGTGGGTTAGGGGTTGGGGTTGTCCGTTCACCGCGGCTACCCCCCCCCCGATGCCTGAGAAGAACGACCTTTCTGTGACGGCCGACTTCCCGCCCATTCTTTTGAGTCTTCCCGCCCAACTTCCTCGCGCAGCGACTTTTTCGTCACTCTGGTTTTATTAAAGTTTATTATTCCGAATAATTATTAATTGAAACGCCTCATTATTAACATTAATACGGTATTACGAAAGCTCAAACGCTCTCGTTAAGGGACAGAAAAGCAGGTACCGTAGTCACATGTTTAAAAAAACTTTTTGGAGGGCATTTTTGAAGCGGGCTTTTTTCTCGGCCGCCTTTTTAAGGGAAACAGGAAACAGCGCCATCTTGTGGTCCTGGAAGGAATAACGGGGAGAACAGGGAAAAGGGGCTGTTATCCTGTATCTTTATTATTAATACGTTATTAATATTAATAGGACAACACGGGGCCGAAGGCATCAATCGATGAACAGGAAAAGACATCGCACTTCAAGAGACCGTACCTGAAAGTGAGGTAAGAAGGAGA